CCTCCGGGTTCATGCTAATTTGATTGTACCCGGAATAGGCATCGAGAAAAGTGAGGATCTCGTAGCCGACTGTGGCATCGATCAAGCGATCGATGCTAGGCAGCGGAAAAGAATCTTTGGGGCATGCTTTGTTTAGATCTTTATAATCTACACACATTCTAAGTTTGTTCCCTTTTTTGGGGACTACAACCACATTGACTAACCATTCGGGATATTTTTCCCGAATTGACCCTATTTTGAGAAGTTTAGTTACCTCATCTCTTACAAATGCGTGTTTTACCTCGGATTGAGGTCTTCTTTTTGCTTCACCGGTTTGAACCTAGGGTCCAAACTCAGGTGGTGCGTTGTTATCGATGGTGGGATCCCTGTCACGTCTAAATGGGACGAAGCAAAACAATTTATGTTATCAATAAGAAATTGAATAAGTTTTTTCCTGAGTTCGGGGGTCAACCCCGTTCCCAGGTATACCTTTCTCTCGGGCAGACGTTCGATTAATATAACTTGCTCCAGTTCTTCGATCGTCGACTTGGTGGCGTCGGAGTCGTCAGGGACGATGAGAGCTCGAGGTGTCGGAAACTCTTCCTTGCCATCTTCTATTTCCTGTTTCACCGATTCGGTCGAGACTGGTTGCTGTGATTGCTATTTGATTTCTCGCCTATCTTTTGTGCTCGACCTTTCTGAGGCCGATAACATTGGTATCGGTGTTATCTCATCGACCGCAAACATTTTCTTCGCAGCATGTTGCTCCCCGTATACTGTCTTCACGCCGTCCGACGTAGGGAATTTCATCACTTGGTGTAGAGTCGAAGGCACTACCCTCATATTGTGGATCCATGGTATTCCGAGTAGGCATTGTACCTCATATCGCCTTCGATTACGTGGAACTTGGTGTTTTGGATAGTTCCAGCCACATTTACGGGCAGAATAATTTCCCCTTTAGTTGTTTCACTGGCCAAATTGAAGCCGTTTAAGACCCGAGCTTCGGGCATGACTTGATTCTGTAAACCGAGCTTCTCCACTACCCAAGATCGGATGATATTCACAGAGCTACCTGGATCCACTAAGACACTCTTAACTTGAACTTTATTTAATAGGATAGAAATTACCAGAGCGTCGTTGTGAGGTTGAGAGATGCCCTCGGCTTCTTCAATTCCGAATGATAAAGTGCCCTCGAGTACATAACCTCGAGTTCGTTTTTCCCCTATGGCCGGTATCTTGCCGTATTTGAGCACAGGTCCCTGTGGAGTATCGACCCCACCGATGATCATATGAATGATATGCAGAGGTTCCTCTTGTTTATCTTTTTTGCTGGCGTCCCTTTCTCTGAAGTGATTCTTGGCTCGGTCACTGAGGAACTCCCGAAGGTGGCCCTCATTGAATAGACGGGCTACCTCTTCTCTTAATTGCCTGCAATCCTCGGTCCTGTGGCCATGCGTACATGATACTTGCACATCGAATTCGGGTTCCTTTGGGAAGGGTCGGTTTGCATGGGTCTGGGCCACCTAGTATCTTTGATTCTTCCGATCGCCGATACAATGCCCGATGCATCGATGCTGAAATTGTACTCCGATAGCCGATNGGATCTTACTTTATTTATAATAAAAAATATATAGTGGAGAATCCATGATGAATTGTCTCTTCCTTGATTTCCACCAAGAGTCTCTCCNCAACGGCTCTTGTCTGCGAACTCGATACTGGCTCGAGCTCGGTATTGGGTCGAGCCCTCGGCCTTGGTTCGAGTTCGACATTCGGGGTGAGTGTCAATCGGTCTGTGCGTCTCCGACAACCTTCATGTTGCCTTGCGGTTCGACTTGGTCATGAGCTCGATAATGATACTGAGGCGATTGCTCAATCGGTCTTGGAGCTCGAAGCTTGTTTGTACTATCTTCGGAACTAATCTCGAAGTCTCACTTCGGTCGCTTACCATTCGAACTCGATCAAATGTACAAAGGCCGAAATCTATTTCAACCGTATACAGTACTAATTAAGGTAAAACCATATTGGAAATGGAATATTATATGGGGTTTCATTTTTGGCAGTGAAAGAAGCCATGACAGGAAAATAAATTGATGAAAGCAACCCTTTTTTTTCTAGTTTATCAAAACTGGCAAGCAAAATCTATAAAGAATTGAGAAAAATCAAAGCATACCGCTACTCTGCGGTCCCTTAATAGTAACAACAACATAAGAGAGACCGCACCGAGTAAGTTTGACAGTGCTAGTGAAATTGTCGAGACCCTTTGCGTTGAATTCACCGTTTCCATCTATCAGTTGCGTTGAGCAAGAGCCCTCCTCGCTTTTAACAGCCATTGAAGCTTTTGCTTAGCTTTATTATTTTTCAAGTTATTGTGTTACTGTAGAAGTTTAAAAGAGAAGAGGAATTACGGAGTTGCTATATTTAATTGTCTGAAGATTGTTTGTGAGAAGAGGAATTGCAATAGAGAAGGTAAGCACATATTCAAGCTTCTTTTTTTTCCCTTCCTTTTCTGGCTTGTTCCAGAGAGAGTGTTACGTAGCCTTGGTTTACGCAATGTCTTTTTTTATTTTCATTTTCTCGAAAGTAGTGATTTGATTTATTTTTATTTATTTTTGTAAAACAAGTAATTTAGATAGCCAATACGTGTATGATTAATACTAGATGGTAAAACTTGGAATTATCATTTACAATTAACTTTGTTATGATATAAAATTGCGAAAAAGAGATTTTGAGACATCATTAAAAAGTTGCACAGTTTTTACATACATAAGAATACTATTTGCATACTCTATTTTTTATATATTGACAAAGGTAACACACTCTACACAATCTTTATATCCATGAGAGTACTATTTACATATTAACAAAGGATGAAAAATTCTACGTAGTCATTACAAACGGTGATTCATCCTTCATTCTGTGATTGTTCGTTTTTGCAATCTGGATAAAAATATTGACATCTGAAGAATTACGAAAAAAAGATCAAGTTTCAGAACCTGTATAACATAATGTACTAATTAATATGACAATATTACTGCCAACCTATCTTTTTAAAGCATGTTGTTCAATCTAGAAATGATATCTAACTACTTGAGAAATCAGGCATTAATCACAAAAATAATGTGTCTGTAGGTATTGTTAAATTTTTCATAGCTTTCGTGGAGTTATTTGTAGAAGCTCCTATTTGGCTTTCACGGTTGTTGGAAGACTCAAGGTTGTGAAAGAGATTGAATAATTTAAGAATTTAACGTAACTATGATAGATCATTGTAAATTTTATTGGTAATTTGCATACCTTTTTTCAAGGCATTGTCCTTCTTACCATGTATAGTTGTAACTCTGCTATGAACAAAGGGAACTAATTTATTGAAAAGAAAAATTTAATAAATTAGGATTTGGTTCAAATAATATCTCCATAGAATCTAAGTGAAAGAAAAAGTTGTCAAGATATTAGGTTGTCTTGATATTATCCTTATCCCATTGTTCTTCTCAAGCAAATTTTTAAAATCAGCTTGACATCATCTGTCCTATTTAGCCCATTGTAGTTTCAATTTCATAATATAAAAGTTATCAACCTTCCATAATTTTCAAAATTTTCAACTCTAACAGAAACAAAGAAGATGAAGAATAATAATATACCATTTCTAACTACTTTTGATGAAACATAATTACACCTCTTGTTATCAAACAAATCCTTATATTTTTTCAAATATACCATCAACCAAAATTATGACACAAGAAAATCAAGAAGAGTTACTTTTATCATAACTGGAGGTTGTAACTATCTTTATGTAAATAACGAATAATGACATTATGTGTGTTGAAGCTAGGATGCCTCTTATGTTTAAAACTTCTCTAGCACTGATTATTGCAAATAATTCAAGAAAATCCAGTTGGATAAATATAGAGGTGCACTTCGAAGTTAATTTTACGTAACAAAAGAGTTTACTAAAGAAGATGTAACTGATCAAGATTTCAAAGGCCTCGAGATGAAACTCACAAGTTATAAATTCGAAAACTCCTCCACGACAAAGGAATTCTCAAGATATCTATCTCTATCTTAACATTAAACTTTAGAAGTTGATACTTCTTTAGGTCTTAACAAAACAACAACGGGAGAAAGCGCATCAATTTTTTCAATGACAGACTTAAAAATTATGGATACACTACGATTAATATACTTATATTATCCAAGATAACAATCATTCAGTGTACAACGATTAATACACTTATATTATCCAAGATAACAATCATTCAGTGTACAACCAAGCATAAATCATTCACGACTTTATTTGCTTATTGGATGTTCTGCTCTGAATGTCAAACCAGAAACAACAATTCCATTTCTCTTTCATCTGGATATGAAGTTAGAATTTGACAACATCCAATACTATAGAAAAGAAACTCCTTGACTTTACTACATGTACTCACACACAACTAAAGATATAGTAAAGTTGTATAATGTCGAACACAGCAACTAATATGCACGCGAAAACTAAGAGCAAAAGCCAAATAAATATTTTATTCTTGAAGAACTGAATCTTCTCACCACCCAAGCTGCTAGAATACTCTTCTTTCACGTAAATCAACCCATATAAACTTTCAAATTTTGAAATTAAAAATAAAATAGAAAAGAAATTTTCACTCTTCAAGAGCTGAATTTCCTCAATTTTTGAACTGCCAAAACAATTTTGTTTAACATAAGTGGAGCCACATAGAATTACAAGAGCAAATGCTCATTAAAATTAAAAAAAAAAAAAAAGATTACACACAGACGAAAGAATTTTTGTCAAGAACAAATCTTTTCCAACACTTTGAACTGCCACAAAACAATCTTGTTTCACATAAATGACCCATCCGAAATAATAGTAACTAATATTCACGCAAAAAAATTATAACCAGAACAATGAAATGAACAAAGAGGAAAAATCACTGGTAAATTGAACGGCTACAAGGGCGAAGCTAACCGAGAGAAGGGCACAAATTTATTTTCTTTTTGAAGAATAAATCTAAAACTATAAAAGAAAGATTGCAGTTATGCGAGAATGACAATTGAAAAACCTTCACATCAACCGTGAAATTAAAGAGAGAATTAGACAAATTAGTAACGACATCAGCCATAATTTTCAGTCGTGATATTCAGAAGTCTGAAGAGAACTGAAAGAAATTAGGGGAGGAAAGATTGGGAATAAAGTTGACTTGAAATTTAAAGAGAACTCACAAAAAACACTTTAGAGTAGTCGAAAGAGTTGGGAAGAGTGGCGATGTTTCTCCATCATTGGAAGTTGGAACAAAAGAGATAAAAGATGAAGCCACGTCACAAAAGCTTTTTTATGAATGAGTAAGATGTCAATTTTGCCCTTGGTCGACCTATCTTCCCTTTTCTATATAATAGAAATATTATTTATGTATACTGCTTAAAATAATTAATAGTGAATCGAGTTAGCTATTTATATAAAGATCCTTTTCATCTTCACTAGTACTAGCACCTGCGCGAATGCGCGGACATTAACCACATCAAATATTTGAGTTATTTGGATTATATGTAAATAATCTTAAAATTTAAACTTCTCGATAAATATAGATAATCATTGGATATTAATTAAGAAACACTACATGAAAAAGATTGACTATTTCTCAAATCTCCTAGTTACAATTCTATTTTTTTGGTACCATTCTCGCTGGTGTCATTGGATCCTAAAAATAGTCACGAAGCAAAATATTAACTCATATATATGTGTCACGACCCAAAAATCACTAGTCGTGATAGTACCTAACTCGACCCGTTAGGTAAGCCAACTAACAGACAATACAATCCAAATGAAATTATAGGAAAATAGTGAAGAATTATCTGGACATTTACAAATTAACTCAAGAACTGATAGTACAAATTATGAGCTTCTAAGACTTAGAATTTACAAAGCTGATACAAATAATTACACGATCTGTTTGAAAGCTACATAACAGATTAACAAAATCTAAAGCCACTAAGGACAAGTGGCAGTCATATCCGGAATGCACGAACATCTTTAGGGTCAGCTCCCGACATTACCAGCAACTCCGCTCCAAAAGTCTGTATGCAAGGTGCAGAAGTGTAGTATGAGTACAACCGACCCCATGTACCCAATAAGTATTTTGTCTAACCTCGTCGAAGTAGCAACGAGGCTTTTTAGTAAAAAGATGCTCACTAATAAAAATCTGCACCGAAATCTAGCAATAGAACTATACTACAGTATAACAGGATAGAGTACACGAAACAAATGTACAAAAAAATAACAGAGTACTAGAAGAGATCACAATTCAACAGTTTCCAATATCTCAACCAATCTTTTCCTTAGAGCGAAACCAATAAACCACAATAGTCACCCCATAACTTTCATAACGTGAGGAATATACTCTGATATCAAGTCAATTGCACGGCAATACCCTTCGTGCATTTATCTTATCCTCACCAAAAATGCATACAACAGTACCAACCGGTTGGCAGAAATGCCGATAATAGTAATGACAAAGTAGAAAATACGCAATTAGCAATAATGAACGAGAATGTACATAAGGGCATCAGTAACAGACTAGGCAGAAAGCATAGAGGTGATGACAACAAACAGGAAAAGGAATGTAACTTTAACTAATTAGCATGGTGGAGGCATAAATACAAATATAACAAATAAGAGGGGAACACATGATCTTTATGTGTTAACAAGTAGAAGCATGAATACCTAACACGGTAGAAGGCATGTACTAAGTGCAACCAAAATAGATACGACAAAGATATAATTATGACAGCAGGAAGTAGGCATGGTATTTTCAAGTTTAGCAAGTAGAAGGCATGAGTGACACAATAACAAATAAGATAAAGAACAAGAACGGGGCATTAACGACAAGTCACGTAAGAACCATAAATACAACATTAACAGCTCAATGTAACGGCATGAACGTATACACAAAGGAAAGATATCACAACATAATGCATGTCCCTCATCCTCACCTGCACGGAAACACCCATCGTGCCATGAACTCATGATAATTTAAAACATGATAATATAAATGAAATGGAACGGCATCACCCTTCGTGCTTTACACTCACATAACATGGCACGGCATCACCCTTCGTGCTTTACACTCACATAACATGGCACGGCATCACCCTTCGTGCTTTTACTCATAAATGATATGGAATGGCATCACCCTTCGTGATTTTACTCTCAATAATATGGCACGACATCACCCTTCGTACTTTTACTCTCAATAATATGGCACGACATCACCCTTCGTGCTTTACAATCTCCCTCACATAATAATGTATAAACAAAGGCACGGCATCACCCTTCGTGCTTTATACTCTTTCTTACCAAGCATATGTATATCAATGACAAATAAGGCAGGAAGCATAAATAACGTCAAGGAGAGTGTTTAAACGAATATTCCAAATGAATCCAGTCACAACTTTCCAAGCCAACAATAGTTCAATAAACCTGCAAGAACCTTATTACTCAAGTATTCTAACAAATCTCACAAATGATCTACAACACAAGTATAGAATCTAGTATCTCAAGGATATCGGCCGTAGCAATGTATTAATGATTATGCATATTGATGACCGAATTAAACACACCAATGTATTCTCAGAATTCCATCAAATTTGATCAAGTTATAATAAGCTAAGTCTTAGTTTCTAACATTTAATACTATGTTCTTAGTATCTAGGAGTCAAGTAAGGCATGAGGCAAGAAGGTCACGTGATTCTACAAGACACAATTTATAACATAATTTACCCCCGAGCATGGTTAACCCTGGCACATGCATATATGCTCGTCACCTCATATATGTATCACCCCCGCATATAGCAAACAATGTCAAATAGTAGGAAAAATTTCCTCAACAAAGTTAGGCAAAACACTTACCTCAATTCGGCTAACTCAATACTCAATTTAGCTTTTCCTTTACAAATTCACATCCGCTCGGCTTAATCTAGCCAAAGACGACTTAAATACATCACACAATGCAAGGGAAAACAATTTCAATTAATAAAACTGTGATTTTTATATAATTTCTAAAAAGTCAACAAAAATCAACCCCCAGGCCCGCCCAGTCAAAACCCGGGTCCAAGTGTAGGTCTTGTCTACCCATAGCCTCACGAGTCCAAATACGTATTTTGTTTCCAAATCCGAGTGATATTCAACTCTCAAATCCTAAATTTTCAATTTTTTCAAAAGTTTTGACAAAATCTCCAAATGTTTTCCTAGATTCTCATGAATTTGATGTTAAATCTTATGAAAAATCATGAAATGTAGTTGAGAATTTATTAGAGGTACTTACCCAATGATTTGGTATGAAAATCCCTTCACAAAATCGCCTCCAATCGAAGCTAGGGTTCAAAATAAAACAAAATGAAGCTAAGTCTCAGAATTCTTAGCATTTAGCAGGCTGCAGATGTCGCATTTGCTACAGGGGGTTTGCAAATGCGACCTCCGCAAATGCGAACAAAACATTGCAAATGCGTACCAAAAGTTTTCCTGTCAAGGTCGCATTTGCGACCCAAAACTTCGCAAATGCGAAGATCAATATCTCGCAAAAGCGGCAGGGTCCATCGCAAGAGCAAACAACCCCACATCGCAAATGCAAAGGGTTTCTTCGCAAATGCGAATCTCCCCCATCAGCCCAAATTTCGCAAATGCGATGGCTGCTTCGCAATTGCGACTGTCGCATTTGCGACAAAAACATCGCAAATGCGATGACACCAGTACCAGCACTCAAAAATCATTCTGAAACTCACCCGAGCCCTCGTGGCTCTAAACCAAATATGCACACAAGTCTAAAAATATTATACGAACTTGCTCGCGTGACCAAATTGCCAAGATAACACCTAAAACTACGAATTGAGCACCAAATCAAAAGAAATTTTTAAGAAAACTTCAAAACTCCTATTTCAACAACCGGACGTCCGAATCACGTCAAACCAACTCCGTTTCTCACCAAATTTGACAGACAAGTCTTAAATGTAGAAATGAACCTATACCGGGTTCCGGAACCAAAATACGAACCTGGTATCAACAATTTCAAACATCGATCAAACCTTTAGATTCATTAAGCCTTTAAACTTTCAAATTTCAACAAAATGCAATAACTCGAGCTAGGGTCTTTCGAATTCGATTCCGGGCATACGCCCAAGTCCCAAATCACGATACAAACCCATCGGAACCATCAAAATACAGATCTAAGTCTGTTTGCTCAAAATATTGACCAAACTCAACTAAAATGGGTTTTAAGGCAAAGACTTCATATTTTTCAGTTTTTTTAACATAAAAGCTTTCCGAAAAAAAAATACCCGGACTGTGCATGCAAATCGAGAAGGCTAAGATGAGGTATTTGAGGCTTCAAAACATAGAATTAGGCTCTAAAACATAAGATGACCTATCGGTTCATCACATAATACATCATGTGGGGATACTCGAGTCATTACAATATGGCAAAATAATCAAAGGTTGAGACTATGAAGAACTCTTTGGATACGACTTATCTCTTTCACTATTACTTGAACTCTTATTTAGTGTGTTGATATCTTTTAAAAAATATTTCTATTTTAAAATTTCAGTTTCTAAAACTTTATTTTTCAATAATAATCATTTTTATAATAATGTAAGTGAAATTTTTATCCTTAATTCAAAACTCATTTTAGTCGACTATCTAAAATTTTAAAAAAATTATTTAGCTAGTGAATTTCTTTTCCGTAGTATGACTCCATTTTGATATTTGACATTACCCAGTTAAATTGTCACGACCCAATTTATCTCTCCGTGAGTTGTCGTAACGGCACCTAGTCTCTACGACTAGGTAAGCCTAACACTTTGCAGAAATGAGATAAAAACTTGAACATAAACCACTAACAGTAACAAATATCTAATAAACAACTCAATGCCACTCGACATATACAATTATCACCTTTGAAATGTACCAAACAATTCCCAAAACCCGGAAACCCGCAAGTCACAAGCTACTAAGAAGTCTGAAATGTTCTATACATCATTTTTACAGAAAGAGGAAAAAATGAACATAGGGGGATAGAGGGGGACTCTGAGGATTTGCGGGCGTGGGCAGATGTACCTTGAAGTCTCCAATAAGCAGCAGCGACTGCAACTAGTGATGAGGCTGGTACGATGAACCTGGATCTACACACGAAAAAAAATGTGTAGGAAAGGGCATGAGTACACCACAACGGTACCCAGTAAGTGCCGAGCCTAACCTCGGTCGAGTAGTGACGAGGTCACGTCATGCCCACTGGTATATAATAATAAAATCAGT